CCCCAAAACCCCAAAACCCCAAAACCCCAAAACCCCAAAACCCCATTATAAATATTTTTATTTGAATCCTTCTGTTACAATTATTGTCTGACATCCTCCCCAGAATTCTTACCTTCAGAGTCCCATCCAGCAAATCTAAGAGACGAAGAGGGTATAGTTTAAAAGTATCATGAAGTCTGGAAAATGGATATTATCAAAGGAATTATAGTAGAACAAATCTTCTAGATTAATTTCTTCTTTGAAATTCCAAGTCTTTTGCCAATCACATCAGACCCTTGTATTTCAGAATTGCTGTTATAAATATTCATATTTCTGGACTTATGAATTGTGTTCTTGACTGGGTAATATGGGTTCCCCTTGATATTTAGAATATCATACTTGTACTTCTGAGACAGGTTGGAGCTATACCAGCTCAGATTACTGCTACTTACCTCATAATAGACAAGCTGGTCCGGTCACTATTGTTCCCTACAAGAGATTTAATATTTCAATTAGTGATAAGAATGTACTAAGACATAATAGTCCTGACACTCTCAAGTATGAATCATTACTTGAAAATAAAATTGGAGCAAGGCTAAACGAGTCAAGAAAACTCATAATTTCAATAGAGAATGAGAAGATCTAAGGTTATAGCCATCTATGGGTACTAAAAGTCCATTTTAGGCATATTTTAGATTTCTTAAGAAATATATTAAAGCTCATTGCACTTGAAGAGGCTAGATTTCTAATCAAATTTGTTCCAAAATAGGCATAAAATCCTGAGTTTTTAGCGTAGTTTGATTCATTTGTGCTGAAATAGAAATCCATAAGTCTTTGTTTAGAGGAAACTCTAAAATAGGTCCCTTATGAAATCCAATGTCTTTGCTTATCGAGACCTAGCTTACCATTATTATTAAGATTAGGTAGCCTAATCTTAGCCCCAGCATTACGAGAAATGATGCTGGAGAACTTGGATCCACTACCTAGAGGATTTTTCTTTTTGTCTATTTTCCATTGTGGCTTCCTTTCTTTGGAGTTGATCATGTTCTTGTACAAGGAATCATCATGATACTTTCTGTCTTTTAGATAATCCATCTTATGATTATCCTCGCTATGATGCCTACTATTGATGATTGAGTAGTTTCCATTATACAAATGTCTATTTTTGGAAGTATGCTTGTAAGGCGAAACCTTATCAATGTTCTTTAGGTTGTTCCTGATCAACAATGATGGAGTATGAGAACTCTTCCCGATACCACGAATCATAGATGGGCTGTAGGACAGGTTCTTCTCAATGTAGATGTTTGAATGTTTCCTATCAGCAAGCCGTGCTTTTTCCCTCTTCCTTCCGTTACGAAGGGTATACTTCTGTTTAGGGTTTTCCATTGTTGAGTTCTTGGAGTTATCCATCAAGTTGCTCTTATTAATCTTTCTTTTAATCATATAACTGTTTGCATTATTTCCTTTGAGAAGCAAGGACTCACCACTTGAGCTATGATTGTTCTTATACTCTTCCTTCAAGTTATTCTTAGCAAATCTCTGGCTTGGCTTATTCCCAATATCTGTGCCTTTGAGATACATTCCCTTGGTAGGTTTCATTGGAGATCTAAAGTAAATGAAATAACTTACAGAGAATCTTTGTTTTGATTGGAAATATTAATGTAATGGGGATCTCTCTTCTTCTCTTCCTTATTAGGAACCTCAGATCTTCTAGCATGAGGTGTCTTCCTCTGATCACCAGTGGAATTAGAGTTCACCCCAATTTTACTCTCATTTTCTTTCAAAATCCGAGGGGAGGAATCCTTTCCTTTAACTATAAGATCAAATGGTAAAATTTACTTGGAGTTTTATGAACTTTTACCTCTTTCTCACTCTCAAAATCATTTTCGTATCCATCGACTTCAGGTGAAATGGTACTTATCCGTTTAGCAGCAGCTTCTTGGGAGAGATTATGAGATTCGATGTCATTCTTAGAGCCCTTCTTCACACTTACCCGCTTTTTAAGGATAACTCCGCTGTGATCTTTGCTGAGAGAGGCTACCTTGTTTCTTCCGTTCTTACCAATCTTGGGCAACATGTACTGAGAGTCATTCGACGAACTAGCTTTGGTCTTTTTAGATCCGATATAAGTGATTGAATGCTTCATGTCTCCACCTTGATTTGACAAACCATGGTGTGACTTTGACATAGTCTTAGCTTCACTCCCATTCATGCTATCCTCATAATAACAAGAGTTGGGCAATCTGTCTGTGAGATACATCAAATTCTTAGGACACCTGATCGTCGTCAGCAGAATATTTTTATATGCCGGAATTTCTTCAGGAAACAACTTGGCCATTTTCTTAGCAATAAAATTAATCTCTAAAATCTCATCTCACGAAGGCCTCTTGGAAGGATTTACAGTTAGCATCTTCTTCAAGATCAGGCTCAGCTCTTGAGAGAACTGCGATGGAATTTTAGGGTAGACTCCTTTCAGTACCTTCTTATACAATCCTTGCATATCATCGGCTCTGAAGGGAGGTTTGAGAGTAATTGCTTCATACAGTACTCATCCTAATGACCATATATCACTTTTATTATCGTAAGGTTTGTCCTTCCAAACCTCTGGGGATGCATAGTAAGGAGTTCCGGTTTGAGTATAGCTCAGTCCTTCCTTAGTTACCTTAGAAACGTTCAGATCTCCAAGTTTAGCTGCTCCGTTATTTGTACAAAAACACATTAGCGCTATTTGAGATCTCTGTGCATAATATTTAATTCATGTAAGGCTTTCAGACCGAGAAGGACCTGGATGAAAATGCTCCATATTTCTTTCTCACTCATATATGTTTCTCAGTTTTGTTGCTGTCATCTAGATAATAATTGTTTTAGATTCATAAAGCAGTGAATTTCTAAAAATTATTACTATCAATTGAATCATTGGTTTAAAGACTTACTCTAATTTCTCCTTAAGTCCTTATTTTTCACTTGCATATCTTCTGGAACAGATCTCCATTGTCTGCGAATTCCATGATGATACATAAGCTTTGGCTGGGTTCATCAATGAATGCTTCTTTATATGAAACAACAAAGTTATTCTTCATACTTGCTAATATTCGAACTTCATTGAGAGCATTTTCTTTCTCTTTATACGAGAGGCTGGACATTCTTACCTTATTTCAGTGCATAGTCTTCTTTGTCCTCGATTCTTTTAACTTTGTACACTGAGGAATATGCTCCTTCGCCTAACTTTTCAAGGATCTTGAAATCTTCCAGTGACATTTTCTTAGTTTATATTATTTAGAATTTGTAAAAAAATTGATAAAAGAGAGAGGGGTTTTGGGGTTTTGGGGTTTTGGGGTTTTGGGGTTTTGGGG